GACACAAAACGAACTTCGAGCACAATACGACACAATTGTAGAAATAAATGACACGATGAACACGACACGACACGATACGAAAAATCACGAAATACAAAATATAGTCAAGTTTGGTTTTAGTATCATACTTCGGATCAGATAAAACAAAAGACACGAAAATAAGATAACGTAACACGAACACAATACGATAATATAATTTGTAGCCCCTAAGTCAGGGCCTATAAATGTACTTAACAAAGCTCGATGGAGTTCGATAGAGGCTCGTTTGCTTGATAATGAAGTTGACTCGAATTATAATTTAAGCTCATTTTGATAATCTAACAAACGCCACACTATGCACACGCATTATTATTGTGCATTCGCGAACATTAATATAATATAAGATATAATTTATTTTAACACACACGTGATAATGATATCGTGAAAGATGTAACAATATTTCAATAGAGAAAATTTAGAAACATATTTTCTTCTCCATTTATAAACATTTTAACATTTGACAACCAACAATTCAAAAATCTAAAGATCGAGTTTATCGAACAATACATATCAGTCTTGTTAAGTAAACACGCCGAACTCAAATAGTATCGTTAAATCGAAGCTAAAATTTCTCAAACTTGGCTTGGCTTACTTTATATCATAGCCCTAATTTGAATAGTATGAATTCAATAAACTATGCTTTAGTTATCAAATTGTTAGTTATTCTTTTTCTGTTAGAACTACAACAGCACTATGAGTTTAGAACCACCTAAATTTGTACCTTAAAAGGAAAGGTTTCTACATAAAATTTGTTGTTAGCCAAAAATACTATTGGTACAATATTGTGAAATCTCAACTACAAGATACATTTTGTCCCCAATCCACAATCACTTACAAAAATCATACTTTTAGATATGCCTTTTCATCACTAAATATCATTATTTTAGTAACTTATTCATCAAGATTTCTCATACATATATGAAGAAAACTAAAATTATGGTTAGGGTACATCATATATGAGTCTTTTTGACAAAAGTGAAGGCCAGTTTGTAGTATTTTATGTTTATATGTTATACTCTAAAAAACCAGATACACAAACAAATGACATTTTATATACATGCGTGCATTTTTATCGCAAAAAAGTATGACGAATCGAACATCTAACAGTTTGATCATCTCATGCAAGAATCGGGATTTGTCGAACATTAAAATGTCAGAAAAAGATAAAATAAAAGGGGCGGTGCCGCCCCACATGCACCGCCCCATTGCCAAGTATTAAAAAAAAAAAAAAAA